CTTAATTTCATGCAAAACTTTCGCCTTTCAAAACAAATGAACTTGAGGCCATCGTTAACAGGAAGCGCAAAATTTTCGAAAATTAATCGAAGCGGAAATTGTCGCGTCGCCAAGAATTGTCTGCTTGCTGCAGGTTGTTGTTACTGCGACTAAATGTAACTGAGAGCAGGCAGGCGTCAGGCGACGTCATTGGTTCCGAACAAGTATTTGGCAAACAATAAGGATATTAATTTGGTGCTTTTGTTGCTTGAATCTAAAATTTGAATAAAAGAACAAATAATATAAATTGCTGTTGCCAAAATATTGCAAGTTGAGGACTACTCTCCTAGGGGAACCAAGTAGATATTTACGCAGAGTTAAATAAGTATTAAGGGGTTAGGCAAATCCAGTTTGGCATAAAATATACCTTATAGTTCTAACAACACTAATTAATTGGTGAAATAGTAAATAACAATATTCTCTGTCTAATCCGAAGTCACGAAGCGCTTGAAACAAACAACCTTCAAATCGATTTAAGATTACTTAATAAGGATAAAAGATCTTTTATCTTGATTTTGATCGATCAGTTCGAATGGCAGCTATATACCTACTATGTAGCGTTGCTTAGAAAATAATCTATGTCAAATTTTGTAAGGACATCTTCTCGAATAAAAAAGTTTTGAATACAAAAACTTTATTTTGATCTGTCGCTATGGCAACTATAAGCTATTGTGGTCCGATAACGGCGTTTCTGTAGATGGAGCTACTTCTTGGGGAGAATATGACGTGTGCAAAATTTCATGTCGATATCTCTAAAACTAAGGGTTCACTGCTCAGAGTATAAATATGCTCTTATTGTTAACTCTGAGCCTGTATCGATTGCAAAGATCGTAAAATTTTTTAAGTTAATAGACATAAATTGAACGGAATCAAAAATTTTATATCATAACAGTAACCAGAAATCTCGATCACCAAAATGTTTTTTTACACTTAACATTTTTTGGTAGTAAAGCTTGAAATGTTGACAAAACACTGAATAGCTGTGTTCAAGTCGCTACGTAAATATCGAAAATTTATTTCGATCATAAATGTTTGAAAATTCATTAAATAGTCCATACAATTTTATTTTTAGCTCTTATTCGGATAAATTAAAATTTACGCACTCCAGCTATCTTATCTCTCTCTCGACATTAAAATGTGCGTAATAAAATGTGTACGCGTACACATATTCCATTTTGAGGGATAGTAAAAATCTCAAGCTACTGGTTTTGTTTTTATAACCAAACAAGACATTTAACTATTCCGATCACCAAGCCAAGTGGCAATAAAATATTTATATACACAAAATATTGCCATAACTCACACGCGGCCGCCGAATAAAGCAATCGAAGCAAGTGTCATGAAGTATTGATAACAATTAAATTGGTCGGCTCATTCGGATGCCGACAAGTCACTGGCAGTGCCTTGAATATTAATGGGAGAGGATATGTAGATAGTAAGATTTAAATGCATAATTCTGCGCTGAAAAAAAATATAATATTGTGGAGAATGGGAAAAACCCATAAGTCAAAATGGTTATAAATAAGCACGCACATGACGCCACCGACAAAGCGAAAAGACATTCATAAAAGGTAATAAATATGTAGAGAATTGTAGAAAGAAGTGTCCACAGCAGGAAAT